AACAGTATTCTGTGGATCATCCACCAGCAAGTATTTTTCAGCAGGATCCTCACAGTCATTGTAAGCAACCGGAAGCATACATATGCTCGCTTTTTAAAACTTAACCCACAAGGCAGCATTATAAAAATATGTACAATATGCTCTAAAAATGTTTATCTTTACGTGCTCCGAACACAACATTTTCTCAGCAACATGTTTGCTTGAGCATATAACAGACACTGCCTTTACATATCATCATCACTCATTACATTGTTAATGATATGACCTTTTTTTATTTTTAGCACACACATTTAATAATTCCTCTCATAAATAAAAATCTGTGATATTAAGATCTCTATGTTCTTTGGCTCTGCATATCATGGCAACACACTTTTTTGTATTTTATTGCACATCATATCTAATCCCATAATCATAACATGTATTCAGCAGCTGTTGAAAACCAACACTACTCATAGAAACAGCTAGATCATCAGCATACTTCATGACTATGGTATGACCAACCATTCATCCAGTCTTACAGTCAATTAATTATTCCGACAATTAATTAATATAGACATTAAAAAGCGCTGGTGAAAGTAGACCTCCTTGCTGCTCTCCATTACTTACTCTAAATGACTCGGAGACACAATTACCCCACTTTATCTGCATACTTTGATTAATGTCAAAGTTCTTAACATGGTATTAGTTAGGCCGCTTTGTCTTAGTTTACTGAACTCGATCAAAAGCTTTAGAAGCACCAAAGCAGCCAATTATGAGAGGATTTTTGAATTCCATAAAGTTCTGAACATTTGTCAGTAAGATCTGCATTCAAAACACCAACCACAAAAGCACTTGCAAAATGATTTACATTAATACAAGAACTATTAAAAGCAGGTCAGTTTCATCCTTTTTGTTGACATGCAGATGGTGCATATAATTTATCCAGACAGCAAAACACCAGTAAACTTCAACATTAATATTTATCAGTCCAACTTCTTATGCCAGAAACACTCTACACAGCCTTTACAGGATCCCCTCTAACATAGTTTTATTTATTCGTTATGAAATACATTTATTCTTCAGATTAACCGGTTTTGCTAAATATCCAGCTGTTCATTGCATTATGAATTAACTATAATTAATAGTAAATACTCCGCTGTGTATTTATTCGGTTGTTAACGTCTTCATTAAAAGTACGTATGGTGTGTCATTATGAAATAAATAGAAAAGTTCTCTAATGGATTAAATGGGTGGCTCTTAAAAGAGCCTTTGTGAACAGTATTCTGTGGATCATCCACCAGCAAGTATTTTTCAGCAGGATCCTCATACAGTCATTGTAAGCAACCGGAAGCATACATATGCTCGCTTTTTAAAACTTAACCCACAAGGCAGCATTATAAAAATATGTACAATATGCTCTAAAAATGTTTATCTTTACGTGCTCCGAACACAACATTTTCTCAGCAACATGTTTGCTTGAGCATATAACAGACACTGCCTTTACATATCATCATCACTCATTACATTGTTAATGATATGACCTTTTTTTATTTTTAGCACACACATTTAATAATTCCTCTCATAAATAAAAATCTGTGATATTAAGATCTCTATGTTCTTTGGCTCTGCATATCATGGCAACACACTTTTTTGTATTTTATTGCACATCATATCTAATCCCATAATCATAACATGTATTCAGCAGCTGTTGAAAACCAACACTACTCAGGCAAAAACAGCTAGATCATCAGCATACTTCGTGACTATGGTATTACCAACCATTCATCCAGTCTTACAGTCAATTAATTCTTCCGACAATTAATTAATATAGACATTAAAAAGCGCTGGTGAAAGTAGACCTCCTTGCTGCTCTCCATTACTTACTCTA